GCTCCCTGATACGATCAAATAAGGAAGACCGAGAAACCATGCAAGCTAGAACCCGACTAGGCTCCGAAAGATCCAATCTCACAAACTGGCTAGCTAGGGCCTGAACATCCATCGCCATAGGTCTCTCCGATGCTGGTAAATAAGCCAAACTCCCTAAATTCTCTGTCCGACGACTCAAGGCATCGGCCGCCACATTGGCCTTGCATGGGTGATACAAAATAGTGATATCATAATCCTTCAACAACTCTAACCATCTCCTCTGGCGCAAATTTAGATCCTTTTGCTTGAACAGGTGCTGCAAGCTCCGATGGTCAGTATAAATCTCACAGGAAACCCCATATAAATAATGGCGCTAGATCTTCAAGGCGTGAACAATGGCAGCTAACTCAAGGTCATAGACATGGTAGTTCTTCTCATGTATCTTCAGCTGTCTGGACGCGTAGGCAATCATCCTACCGTCCTGCATCAACACCGCTCCGAGGCCAATCCTCGAGGCATCACAATAAACCCTATAAGATCCTGAACCTGTAGGAGTATCAAAATTGGGGCTATGGTCAAAGATGTCTTGAGCTTCTGAAAGCTCGCCTCACACTCCTCCGTCCACTGGAACGGAGCACCCTTCTGGGTCAACCTGGTCATAGGGGCTGCATCGATGAAAACCCCTCCACAAAACGATGGTAGTAACCCGCCAAGCCAAGGAAACTGCGGATTTCCATAGCTGAGGATGGTCTGGGCCAACTTTGCATGACCTATATTTTCTTCGGATCCACCTGAATTCCCTCACTCGATACCACGTGGCCTAGGAATGCCACTGAATCCAACCAAAACTCACATTTCGAGAACTTAGCATATAACTTCTTCTCTCTTAGAGTCTGAAGCACAGTCCTCAGGTGCTGCTCATGATCTTCCTGACTCCGGGAATACACTAGAATATCATCAATAAAGACAATGATGAACGAGTCAAGATACGGCCGAAACACACTGTGCATCAAATGCATAAAGGCTGCTGGGGCATTGGTCAGCCCAAATGACTTAACAAGGAACTCGTAATGACCGTACCGAGTCCTAAAAGCAATCTTCGAGATATCTATCTCCCGAATCTTCAACTGATGGTAACCTGAGCGCAAGTCAATCTTAGAAAACACCCGTACGCCCTGAAGCTGATCAAATAGATCATCAATACAAGGCAAAAGATAACGATTCTTCACTGTAATCTTATTCAACTGGCGATAATCAATACACATACGTATAAAACCATCCTTTTTCTTCACAAACAAGACAGGAGCACCCTAAGGTGATACACTAGGACGAATAAAACCCTTATCAAGCAATTCCTATAACTGATCCTTCAACTCCTTCAACTCAGGAAGAGCCATACAATACGGGGGAATAGAAATGGGCTGAGTGCCCGGCAATAGTTTAATGCCAAAATCAATATCTCTATCAGGCGGCATGCCCGGAAGATCAGATGGAAACACATTAGAAAAATCCCGTACTACTGGAACTGAATCAACTGAAGGGGTATCAATACTGACATCTCTCACATAAGCTAAATACGCGTCATACCCCTTCTCAACCATACGCTGAGCTTTAAGAAAAGAAATAACTCTACTGGGAGTGTGATCTAAAGTACCTCTCCACTTAACACGCGGTACACCTGGCGTAGCCACCGTCATGATTTTAGCGTGACAATCAGAAATAGCATAATGGGGCGACAACCAGTCCATGCCCAAGATAATATCAAAATCTACCATGCTGAGCAAGAATAGATCGGCTCTGGTCTCAAAACTACTAAGAGCAACCAAACACGACCGATAGATACGATCCACAACAAGAGAATCTCCCACAAGAGTAGAAACATAAACAGGAGAACTCAAAGAATCCTGATATACACAGAAATGCAGAGCAAAATAATAAGACACATAAGAATAAGTGGATCCTGGATCGAATAGAACCGATGCATCTCTATGACAAGCCAGTATAGTACCTGTGATGACAGAATCGAAGGCAACAACCTCGGTATAGGCAGGAAGGGCATAGTATCTGGCCTGGCCTCCCCCTCTAGGGTGACCTCTACCTCTCCGACCTCCACCTCTAACTGGCTGAGCAGGTGGGGTAGCAACTGGAGCTGTAACCATAGCATAAGAACTCTGCGGGGCACGCCGTGGCTGATAAGTCTATGGAGGTGCACCCCTCCCAAGTCTGGGGTAATCCCTCACTATATGACATGTGTCACCACACTCAAAACAAGCTCTGGGAGGACGTGGTGGCTATGACTGGCTTGGGCCAGGTCTACTGGACTGACCTCTAAAAGCACCTCGCGCAGGAGGTACACTAGATACCAGTGGTGCATAATAAGGCTCCTGAGGCCTAGGAGGAGCTAGAATACCACTGGCTGCTAGAAGAGCTGAATGAACAGGGCAACTCATATAACCCCTACCATGACGACCTGTTGCTGGGGTACATGCACCAGAGAAATGGCCCGACTCTCGAGACCTCTTGGCATCCCTCTCCTCTCTCTCCCTAGCATGCATACCCTCAATCCTCCTAGAAATGCTCACTACCTGTTGATAAGAAATATCCATCTCCAACTCACGAGTCATGCTAGACCTGATGCTGGGAATAAGGCCCTCAATAAACCGGCGAACCCTCTCGCAAACAGGAGAAACCAAGGTCGGTGCATGCCTAGCCAAATTGATGTAACAGACAACATACTCTGAGATAGTCATAGTACCCTAGCGCAAATGCTCAAATTCTGCACGACATGCATCCCTGAGGCTCTGAGGAACATACTCTCTCAGGAACAGATCTGAAAACTGAGTCCAAGTCAGCAAAGTAGCCTCATTCGGACTTTCAAACTCATAGGCGCGCCACCACTCATAGGCGGCTCCTCGAAGCTGGAAAGTAGTGAAGGAAACCCCGCTCGATCCTGATATACCCATGGTACGAAGAATGCAGTAACTCTCATCTAG